ATATATATATATATTGTGTATTTTATAATTTATAGTTCTAATTTTTTTATTTCTTTACTTTGTAATATTTCTTCCATTGTGTACAGAACTTAAAAAATAGAAAATATACGGTGTATCATTGATAAAAAGTTCGATAATAATAAATTAAACTTAGATGATAGTTACTAAAGCTTTGACGAAGTAATTTCAATCAAATGTCTGATTATATAGTTAAAATTAATTAAATGTTTATTTTTTTAATATTACTTTATTTTTCTAATTATCTTGTGTTACACCAAACAGTTACTTATTTATATTTAATGACTAAATATTGTTTATTAAATATTGTTTACTAAATATTGCATTAATACATTAAACAAAATACATTTGTTAGCTATTACCTCTTTTCAGTGTATAATGTTTACGATTATTAATTATTACGTAGAATAATTACGTACTATTATTTATTAGAAACAATAAACTCTCGCGGCTTACTTTGTGTGATTATTATATCTATTGGATTTTCATTGAAGATCTATAGATAAATAGAATCACTAATTATTACTTTTATTTGTCAAATAAAAGTTAGTATAAAGAGAAACACTGTTATTTTTATCAAGTAAAATCGATTAAGTTAAATTTATTCTGCTGTTGCTGATGCATTACCTATTATTATTATGATTTAATTATGATTTAATATTCGGCATGGTGAATATTAATAATAATAATTTTTCTAAATGAAAGAGTCTGAAAAACTATTTAAGTTCTTTGTAAATAAAAATAACTTGTCAAAAAAGCGATAAAGATATATAATACTTTCTTGAACTTGTATAAATATGTCTAGATCTAAAGATATGTCACGTTTTTAAAAAGAGTGATGTTTCAATTACTTAGCAAAAAAATTAGTCGAATAATTAGAAATGATAGTACATAAAATGCCTATAAAAATATCTACATTTTGACTGTACGATGAATTTGTCATATTTTAAAAGTAATTTTCTTTTCAATTACTTAACAGAAAACTAGTGGAATGTAATAAATCTTAAATTATTGAGTTTCATGATAGAATATTCGACCTAAAATTCGTGATCTTCGCAAGCAGATAATCAAAATAGATTGGATGTTTAGGTGAACATTACTGGGACCTTAATGTCATTTCATCGAATTTACTTAGGGATATTGATAGAAAATTAAATGATATACAGCGACCGAGTCGGAAATGAAGGGTAGCCGCTGGCCAAAGAAATTATAGTACGCGTTCGGCAATACGTCTAGTCATTCGGTAGTTTCCTTGACAAGTGGCAGTTATAATATAAGCATTAACGCAATAGCTTCAAAAAACATGAGGCCCAATTGGAATAAGAAATCTAAATTCGACAATGTAAAGCATGGTAAGACATTAATATTATTTTAATTTATTAATACATATTGGTGCTTATTAATATTCAGTATGGATTTAATATTTATATATCTTTGGAAACAAATTAATATCTTACATGATCGTGATAGGATATCGCAAATGTTTAGCATATGTGAAAAGACATGTGGACTGGTTTAATGTCTATTGTGATAATACGAATCTGCACGGTTTTCGTTACATAAATATGGATGAATCGTCGATAATCGAGAATATCCTCTGGTTCCTGGTGAGAACCTTATAATAATCTCAAAAGCTCAAAAGTAGGCTCAGTAATATTGCCTAGGAAACGTAATTTACTCTCAAATTCGACAGATTTGTATATTGTCCATTGTATTCTGCATTATATTGATGTTACGTTTGTGGATCAATTACTCGAACAATCCCATAATTACGACTATTTACACGTCAAATCCGATATGGAACGTGTCTTTTCCAGCCGTCACCATATGTAATAATAATAAAGTCTACCGTCCACACGCTGACCTTATTGCCAAGAATTTGTAAGCGATTAATAAGATATTTATTTTAATATTTTAATATTTATATATTCTTTTGGGGTGCGAAGGATTCGTCGTTTGTCATGAACCCTTGTATTAATAAATAAAATTTTAGAAAAATGAAGTTTTTTGATGATAGTATATCGCAAATGTTTGACATACATGCAAAATTTAAAAAAATTGAAATTTTTGGAGAAAAAGTGGAATTAAAAATTTCTGTTTGGTTTAAAAAAATTTATTTTAAATTCGACAATTTTGTTTCAGTTTTGCTAATCTGTCTTTCAATTTTCTTCGCTAAAAGCTATTTGATATGACAAATTTTTCGTACCTATCTAATATGACAATATTATGCATGAAAATTAGTTTAATTAATTTTGGATCGATGGATTTGAAATCTCCTGTCCGATATTATGTCCCGATTTTACACGATTCAATAGATACATGGATGGGTTCACCATGAATGACAGCGATAAATTTTTTTCATCCCTAATAAAATTAATACGACCCAACAAAATCTTTATAGACAATACGACCGCGAGACAGGTCCTCAATAGACTCGACATGACGGTCGAAGCGCTCATGGAACAGGTGAAAAATGATTATTCTAATGATCAATTTGTATCTCCAAGGAGATACAGATTAATCATAGATTCCATTCAGATGACGAAAAAAGATTCGAGTTAATAATTAACGATATCTTTCACAGTTGATGCAGCCTTGCAGCGCGTTACTGTTAAGATGCGTTTGGATCGGCAAGATTCACGATTGCAGCAAGATCTTCAAGACCATCAAGTCCAAAGAGGGTTTCTGTTGCGCTTTCAATTCCCATTATGAGCTAAACGTTGGACACATGTAATTGTCGCGAGAAAATTCTCGGGAACACATCATTTCTTTGACACTATGTTATCTTATATATACATTTATTTTATATATACATGTTGTTTAATACAAAAGCAACATTGATGCAATGTTTGCAATGTTGCTTTGCTTTATGGAATGCTAAGTTGATGCAAAGCTTCGTCATATTTATCGATTAAAGTTGCAAATAAAGTTTCAACATTTGCTTCATCTGGAAGAAAGATCTTTGCTTAAAAAAAAAAAATCTTTAAAAAATTTTGATTCTTTGATGATTCAAAGTATTAGGTATAGGAAAAAGTTCGTGGCGTTTTTCCCGTTAGATGGCATTAAAAAAACGCCACGAACTTTTTCCCACACCTAATATGTAAGTAAATGACAATCGCGCATAATTAATTAGGCGCAATATTAGAAATAATAATAATATATATTTAGATAACTATAATAAAATTAACATTATGATACGTTATCCGAATATTATTATTATATCTAATATTCCTAATAACTCTTAATACTCCTAATAACTCTTATTTGCCTTGTACATTTTGAAACGTTTTTAAACTTTAAGAGTCCGTTAATAATAATAATTATTTTAATAAAATAATAATTTGATTCTTTGGTTTTATCTGATACAAAAACAGAAGTTTGAAAAATCGACAAAGTCTCCGACTCTAGTCTGATACAGATTTACCCGATATTTAGACATGCATTTAACATTTTTGTTATTATCCTGCAGGTCCAAAGTCAAGCCTTTTAATTCCACCGACTTCAATAACACTTCTGAAGATGATTTACCGGGTGTGCACACAATTGTGGTAATGTTCGATGTCCTCGTATTGATTTCGATTAGAAACTCTATAACATAATCTAGCCACGAGCATAGCTGAGCACATATTTGAAATATAATATACTTTTATTTAAAATACAGTATTTTTAGAGTGTATTTTTATATTTTGTATTTTGTATTTCAACGGAGCACATGAAAATATTACATATTTTGTATATAAAGTCGAAAGATCGAACGCTTTTGTATTTTATAATTCAAGTAATAAGATTAATTTTCAATCTTAGTATTTGAAATACAAAATACAATTATTCTACAAATATTGTTTTTCAAATAAAAATATTTCAAATAGCCTAGCCTTGGTCACGAGTAATTTTATGAAAAATCCTACGAGAGAGAAAGATATATCTATATATATCTTTCTCTCTCGTAGGATATATTTTAGGTGTAGTAATTTCATGCAAAAATAATGAAATTGAATGGAAAAATAATGGATTTCTTTTTATTACACCTAATATATATATATATATA